TGTGGCAGGCCAAAATTCTAAAAAGAATATAATTGCAGGCCTGACACTATGCTGATCTGTCCCACCCATTGCTTCTCGTCCTGCCCTCAGGTGCCTTGGAGAATAGTTTGACTCCCGCTTCTTTGGGGCAACCCCTGAGATATTGGAAGACTGTTATCATGTCTCCCCTGGTCCTTCTTTTCATTAAACTAGACATACCCAGTTCCTGCAACCGTTCTTCATATGTTTTAGCCTCCAATCCCCTAATCATCTTTGTTGCTCTTCTATGCTTCTCTCCACTGTAGGAAAGCTTTCTTTCTAATACCATTCTCTACCAAACTATATTCTTTCCTGCTTCCTTCAGATACTCAGGTCTATTCAGCAATGGGCAACCATGACTTCCACCCCAAAAATCAGTTTCCAGCTGTGGAGAACAAAATCTACAATGTAACAGCAGGCCTATGGCATGCCTGGCTTGATAAGGCCTCCATACAGACATTCAGAACAGGTATGTGATGGCACAATTTGTGTTGTAGCATTTTAAATTAACCTTGAGAGCCAGTACTGAAATGCAATTGTCTGCCCCCACAAATGCTTTCCTCTGATTCTACATAAGGGGTTTTAAGGAAATGAACTGGAGTTAGTAGCCAATTCAAATGATCCACTTAATCAAATTAGCTACTTCCTATCAGACATTTTTGGGTCCAAACTGACCTATTGGCTGTTTTGCAGGTGCTTTCTACACAAAATTGCTGCCAGGTGTTGGACCAAAGAGGCGAATAATTGTCCTCAACACCAATCTGTACTATGACCGGAATAATCAGTCCATGAGTCTGGAAGATCCAGGAAACCAATTCCGGTGGCTGGAAACTCTGTTGGCCAAGGCATCCGAAACAGGAGAAAAGGTTTCTTTCAGCTGCCTTGTTTTTCTTGTTTTAAACAATACTTCTAAGCAGTGGTGGGACTCAAATAAATTAACGACTGGTTCTCTGCCCTAATGGCCAGCTGAGTAGGCATAGCTGGGTGGACATAACCAACTCAACAGGACTCATGTTGAGGTGCGCCTCACCTCGCCCTGCAATGCCTCACCCCTCCCTTCCCAGCCACTCCTTGTCCCACCAAGCCTCGCCTTGCCTAGACTTTCCTCACCAAGCAGTTCACTTTGCCTGGCTGTTCGCCTGGACTCCCAGCCACTCGCCTGCCTGGACTCTAGGTGAGCGAGCGGCCGGGAGATCAGGCAAGCGAGCATCTGGGAGGCCAGGTAAGCAAGTGTCAGGGAGGCGAGTGGCCAGGCAGTGAGGCGAGGACTGGCTGGGAGGGGTGGGGCGAGGCGGTGGCGGGCATGGCGAGGCACGCTATTCAGCCAATTTGCCAAACTCTACAAAAAATTCGCCACCAGTTCTACTGAACCGGTGCAAACCGGCTGAATCCCACCACTGCTTCTAAGTCTCTTGGGGACAAGATAATTATAATCAGGATAATGTCTCAACTCAGCTGCAAAAATACATTCAGCACCATGAAGCGATTGTCAAAGGTATACCTCTGGAATGTCAGCACATTTCAGTCATGTCGTGATTTCAAGAGGGAAACAAAGGATACGTCGTTAAGTCACAATCCATGGTTTAAGCCATAATTAGTTAGGTTTACATTACATGCTAAGGCATAAACATGCTTTCATTTCTAATAATAAAAAACGGGAGAAACATTTTATAAATACATTTCAATAAATAAAATTAAACCATATTGCGACTTAGCGTAGTATGTGTGAATCTAGCCAAGGAGAGTAGGAATCATGGATTGTAAGATCTACAAAGGGCCTTGGAAATCATTAAGTCCAACTTCCTTGTGCAGTTTAGGAGAAGGGTTTGCACCAAACCTATTCAGATTGAAGCCAACAAGCTGTAGATTATTATTTTTTTAATTTCTATAACAGGAGTTTCAGGTCTATAAAGGTTGAGAGAACATATCAATGGTGGGTTCCGGATCCCGTTCCAACTGGTACAGTTGGAACAGGCCCAGTGGACGCACAAAGCGCGTGCATTTATCTTAGCATCTCTGCGTGCCCCCAGCTGCTCCGCAGAGTGTTGCACAGGTGCTGTATGTGCCGTGCGCAGAAGCATGGAAGCCTTAAAAGACAGGTAAGGAGCTCGGGCGGGCTGGTGGTCCCTCTGGAGCACCATAACGGAAAGGTATCCAGTGCTCTGGGCAGGCTCCGGTACGTCCATACCAAGGTGTACTGCCTGCAACCCACCACTGGAACATATCCTGAGAGAGGATATTGGGAAAAGCAGAAATTTGGAGCTGACTCTGGTCCCACCTCTTCCCAAAGCATTGATCAGGCTAGCTGATGATTATGAGAGCACATCCGGTTGGGGAAGGCTAGGAAACAGTATTTCACAGTCTTGAGTATGTCATTTCCCCCCCTGACTATCCTTTGTCTGATCTATCCCAGGTCTATATTATTGGGCATGTTCCTCCTGGCATCTTTGAAAAGAAACGAGGCAAACCCTGGTTCCGAAAAGACTTCAACCAAAGATATACAGAAATCATTCAGAAGCATCATGCTGTAATTGCAGCACAATTTTTTGGGCATCACCATACGGATAGTTTTAGAATGTTCTATGATAGCAAAGGTACGTCCTCTCTGAAATTCTCTGGAGGTCTTCCAGTCTGTAAAATAACAGGGTTGTGGGGCAAAAGCATTTAATAGGAAGGCAAGTAACAGGGCTGAACTCTGCTGGGAGCTTGGCAACTACTGTTATCTAAAGATGCCACATGTCTACCAGAACCCAACAACTGAAAAAATGTCATATAATTTAGCAGCATAGTTAAAACAAAGTCTCTTTAAAAAGAGACTGGACAATATGAAATGTCGTAAGATCTCCTGCTGGGGTTGGACTAGAAGACCTCCAAGGTGCTTCCAAGACACTGTTATTCTGTTAGTCAACAAATTTCCAGTAACCTTATATTAGCTGCCCCAAAAGCCTCTAATAAAATAATATTTGCCCAGAGATAAGATCTGTGCCAGAATCCACCAGCAATTAGTATATTCCACAAAAGGAAGGCCATAATTGAATTGGGGCATTATTTCCCCATCCCTACCCATTTAATTTAAGGGGGTGTCCCAAAAGTGATTGCAAGTTTTGCATTGCCAAAGGCAGTTCCTTGCCACACCTGCCAGTTAACACATTGTTGGGACTTGAGTGCCACTATTCCAGTTTGCATATCATTTCTTCCTCCGTCATGGATTATATCCTGTTACAGTCTGGCAAGGAGCTGACATCAATCAGTCCACAAAATAAAATGTGTGTGTATATGTGCATGTGATAAAATTCCCAATGTAGTTTGTTTTCTCTTTCAGATTCCCCGATCAGTGTCATGTTTTTAGCTCCAGCAATTACACCTTGGAAGACAAGCTTGCCAGGTGTGCAGAATGGAGCCAACAACCCTGGCATTCGTGTTTTTAAATACGACCGTAACACTCTGCTCGTGAAGGTAGAAAGAGAATTCCATTTATTTATGTTTCTTGTCTCCAAGAAATCGGGCTGTCGGCTCCAGAGGTGATCCGTGTAGCCACTGAGGGCAAGTTATTTTGCCCACTAGAGGTTTCTAGATGGTCCCAATTGAACTGGACTCCTGTGACTTGCTTGAACCCTGCTCATATTGACAGCCTTGGGAAGGTACAGGGGAGAAGCTGTAGAGAGCCGAGCAATAGTCATGAGATCCTGCTGACCATCGGGATTACGGCCCGATTCAAAAAATCCTGAAACAAAGTGTTAGTTTACTTGACTGACTGAGCATCCTGCCATGGAGAACCCAGTCGCGTTAGTTGTCCTGGTTGCTACAGCCAGGAAAGTGAAATGAAGAAAAGTGGAGAGTGAATTGGAGCTCCTTTTTGGGCTGCCTTGACAGAGGGCAAAGGAAATATAATGGCTCAAAGATTATCAGGTGCAAAGAATCAACACCCACCAGTTGGGTTACAGCACAGAGGTTTATTCAAGCTTATAGACAAGAATATGGTCCACTAAAGTTCAGTATGAATTGTCCCCAGATAAGAATTCAGGAGGAGTGGACTTGGAGCACTTGTGGGAACGCAAGGACTCTAAGCTGATGGTGTGTTTAACTCTGCCTGCAGTTCTGCCTGTTCTTTTCCTACACTGTCTTCATCATTATTAGGTTTACTACATCAGGGTGCAAAAATGTAAATGTCCAGCAGATGGAACCAAAGAGTTGAGTTCTCTCTATGTTTTTGCTGCTATTGCAGAGTCGTCTGAATTTCTGCAGCCCGAATCTGATAGTTCGCTCTGATCAGTTTTAACAGATTTCTTAGTATTTCTTCCAAATGTTTTCTGTTCCTTTTTTTTTTAGGATATCGTAACTTACTATTTAAACCTCACCCATGCTAACATGGGTACCCCTGAGTGGAAGAAAGAATACAGCCTGACAGAGGCATACGAGATCCCGGATGGTTCTGTTCATTCCATGCATCTGGTCCTGGAGAAGCTTATGAGAGACAAAGGCCAGCTCCAGAAGTACTACCGGTATAATTCTGTGCAGTACGATACAACGTTCTGCAATGACAGCTGCCAGACAGATCACATCTGCGCTATCAGAGAAGTTGACTTTGAAAAATACAATCAGTGTGTTATAGCCAGAAGTGCTGCAGCTACAACCCCAATTCTGGACATTTTCTTACTTTGCCCCACCATGGGTCTCATTACTTTCGGCCTCTTGGACATCTTGAGCAAGCTAGGCAACCAATAGCACCACGTGGATTCCACAGGAGCAAAAGAAGAAGCACAAAATGTAGTGACAGTCACAAGTGACAGCCTCCTGAGAATTTAAACCAGAAGTGTCAAACTCACGGCCCCGGGGGCCGGATCCAGCCCGCGGGGTTCTTATATCTGGCCCACAGGACTGCCCTGGAAACATTGAAGAAGCAGCTCATGGTGCCTCTGCCAATGAAAATGGAGCTTGGGAGGGCCACGCTCTGCCCACCCAGGGTCCATTTTCGGCTGCGATGGCCTCCTGCAGCCCTCTGCCAGCGAAAATGGAGCCTGGACGGCAGGAGGTCGTTGTGGCTGAAATAATTATGAGTGACGTCAAGCTGGCCACGCCCACCCCAAGCACGCCCCCTTGGTCCCCCAGGTCAAACACAATCCTGATGTGGCCCTCGATGAAATCTAGTTTGACACCCCTGTTTTAGAACATCTATTTCTGATGATTTTTTTAACTGCAAACCCATCAGAACTTCATCATCATCAGATCAAAATTATTATTTTTCTTGCATTGGGATGGTGCAAGATCTCCCTTGGAAAAAACAAACACTTAGGTGGCAAAGCTTCTAATCTAAGAGTATCATTGCTAAGACTTCAAGAGTTAGGGATCGAGCCGTTAGGCTGCAGTGGCATAAAAGGGTATTTCCAACTGATGTTAGTGAAAGAGGAGTGGTTCTCATGGATTGTCCCAGGGTCTGGATTCCTTTTTTTAACACCCACATAAAATTGCTGGTATCAATACGTTGCTGATACCAGTTTTACATCTCCACTCCAGGCTGATTAAATGACATTGTGGAATTCTTGATTTGACACCTAAACGCTACAAAGAACTGGATTTAGTGAAACGGGTTTAACTGAAAACTCAGTGGAGTTATCATTTATTCCATTGTTTTCAGTTGCATAAGACGTGTAGAAAAATGAATTTGTATAAACACAATTGTTTGATTGGAAATCTTTATCTTTTGCTGAGGGCACCTTGAAATCACAGATTCAATAAATTTTCAAAATATTGTTTAATTGTTCGGGCTTTTACTCCCCTAAATTGAGATTAAGGGGAAAGTTTCCTTATCTGGAACACTGTTAAATTTTAGGGAGTAAACCTGCTTTTCTAGAGAGCTTTTGCTGAGAAACCACTTAGATGGACAGCAGCTCTGCAATGAGGTTGGTTTTAAGTTGTAGGCTGTTACAGTTTTAGAACTGTAAGCCATCTGTGATCCAAGCAGTAGATAACATTCAAAAGTCTACATTATCAAATAGATAAATGTGATTGAGTTAGGCTGGGTTGGTTTTGATTTAGTACAATGCAGTGGGTGTGATCTCACCCATTGTGTCTGTGAACCAGTGAGTTGCAGGCGGTACGCCCCAATATGGGCATACCGGAGCCTGCCCGGAGCACCGGATACCGGAGGGCCCACCTACCCGCCGAGCTCCTTACTGGTCTTTTAAGTCTTTGGCACTTCCGCGCATGGTGCATATAGCGCCTGCACGACGCTCTGTTGAGCAGCTGAAGTGTCATGGAGGCTTCCGAAGGTGCTAAGACGCATGTATATGCTGAACGTGTGCGCACACACACTGCGCATCCTTGTGGATGCTGCCGGGCCCGTTCCAACCGATACGGGCTGGAACGGGATCCAGAACCCACCAGTTCTGTGAACCCATCATACTTAACAATCTGTAATGAAAAAAAGTATTTTTAAGTGCATTGTGTGAGTCCCAGAATATGACTCATTATTTTCAATACCTCAGTTGGTTGTTTCATTTCCTATTTTATCCTGTCTACAATGCCATAAAAGCAATAAGGGAAGACTTGCAATGTTTTATGACACAGAATTTCACCTCAATAGAAAGGCAGGCCTTGTACAGAGAATAGAATAGAATAAATTAGATTAGATTGGAATAACAGAGTTGGAAGGGACCTTGGGGGTCTTCTAGTCCAACCACCTGCTTAGGCAGGAAACCCTATACCATTTCAGACAAATGGTTATCCAACATCTTCTTAAAAACTTCCAGTATTGGAGCATTTACAACTTCTGTAAAAAAGTTGTTCCACTGATTAATTGTTCTGTCAGATTTATCCTTAGTTCGAGGTTGCTTCTCTCCTTGATTAGTTTCCACCCATTGCTTCTTGTCCTATCCTCAGGTGCTTTGGAGAATAGCTTGACTCCCTCTTCTTTGTGGCAGCCTCTGAGATATTGGAAGACTGTTATCATGTCTC